TTGATCGATTGTAACTCCTGATTGTAGCAACCCTAAAACGAACGGCACTTCAGAAATACAGTACAGTATACCAATTATTCTCTCAAACTTTATATCCTATCGTGTTGTTTGTGTTTTAAGTTTAATAACTTTATTTATTTTTTTTATTTTTTTTAAGCGTACAGGTTTGGAATATTTTAAAATCCTTAAGGAGTCATCCATTATTTTCATCATTTTCACGCGCGTACAAAACGTACGCTGTGGGGAGGGGGTTGAAAGTTTGTGTACGCTTTTCAAAAAGTACAAAAATAACGATTTGGAAATGTTAGCCTACGTTTTTGTACCTAGCAATTCACGAGTAAATGTTAAGTTTATCAATTGTTTATACACAGCGTCATCTTGCATCCCTATTAGCGATGTGTTGGTTAAAGCATATTGTGTACTTATAAACAATTTCGAAATACAAGGGAAATGCACTCTAGCCAGGGGCGGATCCAGGATATGAAAGAGAATAGTTTAAAATGTCTAAAAAAAAAACCAACCAAACATTAAAAGGAGTCCTGGGAACTTCCCCGGGAAAGTTTGGATTCCTAGATGGCCGGAAATGAGCTTTCCCGACTTCTGAGGAGTTTTTAATGACCTTTAAGTTCTTCAAAATTCAAGGTTTTCTCCTCTTGAAAAAGATCAGGTAATTTTATCTCATTCTTTAGGCCATTATACAGAGAAAAACATTAAAGACATAAGCAATATATTGTTACATTCCAACAATATTGCGTAGAACGCACTTTTAAATACATTATTACGACACTGAACCAAAAACAGTTTGTGTAATTTTATTTAATTGAAGGCTATGGGCTAAGCATAGTTTGTCTGATTTGCCAACCTATATACCTAGGTAGGTTCAGGCGCGGATCCAGCGGGCGGCCACGGGGGCCCGTTCCCCCACCCTGTCAGTCACGCCGAAAAATATAAAAAAAATTGAGAAGAGTTAAAGGGAAGAAAGAAAGAGGGAAAAAACGAAGTGTACCCATGAGTTCAGTGACGGATCCAGCAGAGGGCGAAAGGAGAGCTCGATTATTTTACCACTCACTAATTTTGAATTTTCTATTGGTTGTCAACGAACACAACGCTATTATCCCCGACGCATCAATCAGGATGTAAACAGGCCAAAAGGCGGAGACATAAATACAGTGTTTTTTTAGCCGGAATGTAGTACCCCCAGCTATAGAACAGCTATCCATGCTCAGCATGGAGTAACGCCTACGCGTTCTCGTGCTAAAATCCGCAGGCCACCGAACCTTTATACCGTAATGATTTTGATAAACAATCACAATTCTCTGTACTATCTACTAAACATTTAACGAATGAACTTCCTTGTGTTGTGGTCATATTAGACTGTTATATTTTTAAAGAAGACCATTCAGCAAACAACATAAAACAAAATTCCCACGTCGAAGCATGCATAAAACGTACAATTTCCTGAAATTTGGAAATAGAGCGGACTTCCTTATGATATTTCCTTATGTTGTGGTCATATTAGAATATAATATCACTAAAGACCATTCAACAAGCAACATGAAAAATAGGGCCTATATCAAACTTTTAGGTTAAAATATCCGCTTCCGAGCATGCATATAACGTAATTTTTTAGATATATATTTTCATGACAGTCGAGAATGTACTGATTTATATAACTTATAGATAATTACTGTTGTCCAATTGTGTGCATTGAAAATGTGATGACGAACTCGGGATACGACCCGCGGTTGACACTCATAACAAAGGGCATGTTAATTAACCTTGCACAGGAGCCTGTCGTCACCTGCTACAGTGCCTTCTCCTCCTTATCATCATCACATTATCATCATCATCATCATCATCATCACCTTCATCATCGCAATTATTATTTGCTAAAATGGGGGAAATCTATTGATTCAGAGTGTATAAATTCATCAATAGAAGTCTCGTAATGCACGTAAGTGCATTTCTCAGCATCTAGAAAAAACAAAACTCTGCGAAGCTAGGAGAACCCCAAGACTAACTGCAAACCACCCCCATCTTCTGAGTTGGCCTCATAGATTCAGCCAATCAAATTTCGCCTAAGCACTATCATTTTCAATGGCGCCCTCAATTTACACAGAAAGTTCAGTACAGCTTGTTACCCGTATTTTGAAACTCGAGCATTGCGGTGTATGGGTGTAATGTACACGATTTTAATTATTTTTAATATTTGAATAAGATCTTCTACTTGGCCTCTTTTTGGCTACGACAGTTTAATAATTTGTCATTATCAATACTAATTATCATTAATGAAATAATATTCAGTCAGAGGGCTTATTTATGGTAATAATATGTATACTAAGCCTGAAGGTGGCGCTTTCCTACGGCAGCCATCT